GAATTGTGAGCGGCCGTTGCCAAATGTTGAACTGGCAGCTTTGATCTTTGATCTTATCGCGGCCAACAGGCAAAAGTGTTAACTGAAACAACGAATGCAGCCCCTCTCTGCCACTGCCGCTTGCCACACATTGGCTGCTTGCCTCTTGCATTGATTAATTGAAATTTCACTTTTTGTGCCTCAATCTTCATTTATTTTGTGGCACTTTAATTGATGCCCCCAATTGAAGCGCACGCCCCGAAAAAAGCATGTTGCAAGTGCCATTTAGGGGCGCATTTGTTGTCGCCTTTAAAGTGTATGCGACACGCCCCATTTGTACGGCCCCTTCTTGTGTTCTTGTGTTTTTGTTGTGCCATTTCGCATACACAAACAATTAGCCGCTGGCCAAAAGTGAGCTGCACCCTCGGCTGTCGGCCGGCCTGGGCCTAATGATATGCCATGTGGCAGGAATGCCAATTACACATGCTAATTGCAACAGCAAAGCATCTCGAGGCAACTCAAGCTTTGTTTGTCTATCAACATGTCGAGTTGCATCTGTAAATGATTTCTCGCGTCTGTCAAACCGAGCTCATTAGCAGCAGATCATTAATTTTAGCAACTAAAATGAGTTTCATTTTGCAAATACGTGTTATGACAGATGGTTCGAAAGATGAATAGGTTGAAGCAAATGAGCAAAATATCAATTTCAATAATTATATAGATTGACGAAGATTAAATACCCTAAACATACATTTAGCAGATGAATGCCTACTCAAATGACAAGAAAATTCCTTTTCTTCACAATTTTTCAAATGCGAACTTTTTGATATAGTTGACAGCTGTTAATAAGTTCTTGCTTAAGTATTTCTTGATCTGATCTGTCTGTCTGTAACTATTGTTACTGTCTGTAACTATCTTTACTGTCTGTAACTATCTCTAATAAATTCTTTAAGCTATGAGGTCTAGTAAGCTTTGCTTAAATGTTTCCTGATCCATATCGACAGCCACGATGATAGAGACAAGTTCGCCTGTGGGCCTCTGTTCCAACTCGTGTATGAATACCTTAAATAATATCGGTCTCCCATATTATATAGCTTACAATCAGTCAAAGCTTGAGCTCCTATATAATAATCGTTTATGTTTTTCACGGTACTCTAAACAAGCCCATTTATTGACAACTTGAATGCACTCCTAAAATTTGCAGATCACTGCGGCTGCCATCTATTTATAATAATAATATACACGTGATAGCTTCTAAAATCTTTTTGCTTGAGTACTCATTGTATACGCATATAATTATGATTATATGCAGGCTAGTGTAGCTAAGAAACATGGCTATGTTTAGGTTCAAGTAAAGCAATAGCTGCTGAGACCTTCAACTATGTCACGAAATATTTATTAGTTAATTTTAAGCATTTACCATCTTCTATTAAATTTTAAAACTTTGTATATTATTTTACCTATTTCAGTCAGACTTTTTCTATTTAAACTCAAGAACACATTAATAATATAATTCCCAACATGTTAACGTTGCTAAGCAACAGAAAGACAAAGTTTGTGCGCCCTCTTACTTACTCCCACGCTTTGTTTGTCTGTCTCTGTTTCGATCTAATCTCTCGTTCTAGTTAACTGTGACAGGCTTAGCAACATTTTGCCCCTGACAACATTCCAGTTGTTGTTGTTGTTGCTGTTGTTGTGGGCAACCGCGAGATGTTGCCATGTCGCCCGCTGCTGCTGGCGTCGACGCGGCGACAAAAAACACGCTGCCAACTGATGCGGCGCACAGCAATGAGTTGCACGTGGATGTCAGCAATGGCAGCAGTTGCAGCAGCTGCTGCACCAGCAACGTGTGGCACGCAAAACCGCGTGGCAGCAGCAACAACAACGCTTCGTATAGGCAAGTTCGGCTTCTGTCTGCACTTCGTGAATGTGAATGTGCCTTGAGCTGAAGATGTTGCTGCTGTGTCGGCTGCTGTTGTTGCTGCTGGTGCGACCAGTCGCTGATAATGTTGCCGCTGGGAAATGTGGCCAAAGAATTGCATTTGGTGCCCCATCGCTGAGCAGCTCTTTCTGCTCAGGCGCTTATCAGTCAACGCTTTTGGCTCATGTCATAAATTATGAGCAAAGCTGCACATACCTCCTCACACACACACCCACACACACACACGCACACTCACACATCCCGTTTCGAATTCAAAGGCAACACTCACGCGTGGTCGCCTCGATAACTCATCCCTCATCCGAGTCACGCCGTCTGCGGTCTCGACATGTTACGCTTGCCTGGCTCTCGAGTTCAGCTAACAGCGGCTAAAAACTTAACTGAATACTGAAAAACCCGCCTTGCATTTCCTGCCAAACTGTGCTGCAGCCCCCGCCCCTTCCCACTATTGCCCTCCCCCACCCAACTGCCAGGTTCACCCACCGCATTGCAAATCATTTTTGAAATGCAGCCACGCACGCAAAAAATGAGCTCGTTTGAAATCCAAACATTTTAGCAGCCTTCTAGCTAAGCATTTTCCACCAAACACCCACCCCACCCCCCTCCCCACTCCCTTCTTTAGCTACTCGTTCTACTCGTTGCCCCCACCAACATTTGCTGCTATTTATTCATTGGTGCGTGTTGCCAAATGCCAAACATTTTTAGATGCGACTGCGAACGATGCTTGTAAATACTTTGCGAGTTGTGCAAAAGTGGAAAAAGATTTGCTGTCGCAGCTGTTTAAGTTGTTGTTGTTGTTGTTGTTGTTGCAGTTGTTGTTGTTGCTATTTGGTATTTGCCAGAGAATGTGCGCGTCTTGGAATTGGTTGCTGCTCGAGTTGTGCACTTTGTTCGGTCGACGGGGAGTGTGGCAAACATTTTTAATGCAGTTTTAATTAATTTTTAGCGCAAAAATAAATGGAATATAAAATATCAACATTAACTGTGACTTTTTAGCCAAACGAAATCAAAAATTAGAGCTACGCAAGAGTTATTTGCACTCTGCTTCGTACTTAATTAAAAGAAAGTATATTTGCTGTTAAAATCAGTGTTGTAAAACGCAGCAAAATTTTAATAGTTCAGTTAATGGCGCGAACCAGCGCGCTGCTTTTGGATGTTGTTCGTAAAGCTCACATCCTTTAAACACAGATTTTGTTGCTAATCAGAACTATAAACCAAAAACCTGCCCCTGTATTAAAAGTTGAATACAAGAAAAGGGTATTTGCAACGTCTTAAGTAAAACTGTGCTTCGCACATTAAGCTGTTGTCATTTAGGAAATCTTCTGTGTCTTGCATAAACTCTTAGAATATGCTAAACAACAATTCACATAATCGAGCATGAAGTAAATCACCTTCCAGCCAGCCCAATTGCCAGCAAACTAGCCTCAAATCACAACAAGTTGTCATAAAACCTTCTCAATCTCTAACAACAACGTTTTACGATGGCAGGCTAGACAGTCCAGCTGCTGTAAACACACCTCCAACTACAAATAGAAGCCATCAATTACTTAAAAAGCATATAAACATTTAAGCAGCAAGAGAAATTATCAATTAGAAGCTCTTTGGCTTAGACCAAGAAGTGCCACTGAAAAGTGCATGAAACTCTAGTGTTTGATATCGTTAAATAAGTTGTTATCATTAAAAAAGATAAGGAAGCTCGGCTCATACTTAAGCAGAGTGGACTTTGAGTGAGTGTGTGGATGCTGGAAACCCAGTTTGAAGGCATGCCTCTCTATGGGATTCTCACATGCACACAAACACACAGTCTCATACACACACATATATGTAAACAGAAATACGAAAGAGCGACGTTTTTACTTACGTTCCACAAACAATGTCCATGTGAATGGAAGGAAACTGGTTGCTGCTTGCACTGTGGTTCATCAACGATTTGCACGGGCTGAAATGAAAGTTGTGCATGAGTATTAAATAAGTATTAAGTAATTAAATAAGTAACACAGAATATTAAATATATAATATAAATCATATCAATCAAAATCGTATCAAGAAACTTCCAATCGACAGAGCAATGCTCTATTCACAGAACAAAAACCGGTTATTCACCCCGCTAATAGACTATGTGGTTAATGTTTCTAAAACTGTAAGAGCAAATGATTCTCAAACTGTATTTGTTATCTGTGCGATTTGTCTAGTCTTCTATCTATTCTGGAGGCTCATTTACACGTAAAAGTTATTTATTTTGGCTCTATAACTTTGGGAAATATCCATTTTCGCATTAACTGAACATTAGCTATGTTTCCATTATCTAGAGAATCAAAATAAATAATTTGCTTTGGATGGACGGAAGGTTGTAGTAACAATAATAATGAGAATAATAATAACAATGATACAAATAATAATAATAATAATATTGATTATAATGATAATAAAAATAATAATGAAAATAATAATAATATTAATAATGAGAGTAATAATAATACTAACACTAATAATATATATTATTATGATAAAATGAATAATAATAATACTAATACTAATGATATCTATTATAATGATAAAATGAATAATAATAATAATACAAATAATAATAATAATAATTAGTATAAAATCATTCATTATAATAATAGTAATAATAATGAGAATAGTAATACAAATAATAATAATGATAATATCTATCATATTGAGCATAATAACACCAATATTAATTATTATTATTATGGAGCGACAACTAGACGGCGCTGCTTAGCCACTGTGCGACGTCGACGTCAGCTGCTGGCTGTGACTTCGAGCAGCCGCTGCCTGCCTCCTGGTTTCCCATCTGACTGCCTCGCTGACTGTCGACTGCCGACTGCCGACTGCCTGGCCTATTGAAATTTATGTGGCCGCTTTTAGTCGTTTACGCTTAGCCAGCGGAAGCGAACGTCGCAATCGCAGTCGCAGTTGCAGTCGCAGTAGAAATCAAAATCGGAATCGGTTAAAGACGTGTTGTGAGTGTGTGTGCATTAATGTGCTTATGTGTGTGAGTGTGTGTATTGTCATCTTTGTTGTTGTGCATTGCTCAGATGCGCTTAGATGTAGGTGCAGCTGTGAGGCCTACGAAAATGTATTTCGTAATGCATTTGAATCTTGTGTAAAGTGAACAAAAGCAGTGCGAAATTAACAAATAAAATTCAACAATTTCTAAATACATCAGAAATTAACTGAAAGCTAGTTGCAGCTGGAAGAGTTCAAACGAAGCAATTGGCTAATTAACATTTGGAATTTGGCATTTGCCACAAAGCGAGCAGCATTTGTGGCAAACCTGTTGCTGCCGCAGCTGTTGACACTCTCGAAACGGATAAATTCCAGAGCCAAAAAGCCATTCTAAAAGGTTGGTAAAAACAGAAAACAAAAGAAGAGAAATAATATGCTAATATCTAAAGCATTTGCTGTAATCATCTAATCGCGTGTGCGGCCACAAAACAAGCCATTTAAATTAATCAACCTGACATGCGACTAACTAACTGACTTCAACTAACTATGCAAATGTTATTGAGGAAGTCAAAGAACACAAAAGAAAAACTCGTAACTGTAACATTCTGCTGGTCGCTTGTGGCCAGAAGAAGAAGAAAAAGAAGCAGAGGAACATGTTTTTGGTGCAGGTTTTTGCCAAGCGTGAGAAAATTCACAGCGCATTAATTAGCAAAGAAATCATTTTAAGGTAATCGACAATGCGGGTAGGCTAAAACCCAATATCCCCCCGCCGCAACCCGCAATCCGCAAGCCTTCCTTTCGGTCTGCAGGTCTGCATGCGCCTGGCCACATGTGAGTGTCGCTGTGGCCTGTGATTGGAATTGGATAGCAACAAAAAAAACTAATTGCTTGAAAATTAAAAACGTGTCAGCTGACACGCTACCAACCTCAAAGACTGCAGCTGCCTGCAACTGCCCGAGTCGCAAGAAGTGCTGCATGATTGTAAAATGGAACTTTAACTGCCTTACAATTAAAAGAATTTGCATGCAACATTTTGTACAGTGTAGACACGCAGCGAAATGCCGTTACAGGGAATAGTTTAAAAAACGTTTTCTGCTTTAAATTTGCAACATTTCGCTCTTAAATTAAGTTTAGAATAAATCTTGATTCAAAAGTAAACAGCAACAAGAATTATTACACAATTTTGCAGACTTAAATTGAAAAAAAAAAAATCAAATAAATATTATAAACTTTTGTAGACTTAAATTAAACAAAATAATTAAATAATTATTAAAAGATTTTGCAGACTTAAGATAAACAAAATAGTAAAACATTTATTACAAGATTTTCTAGACTTGAATTAAACAAAATAAATAACATTTATCACAAGAGTTTCCAGACTTCAAACAATCCAAATAAAAATAATATTATTACAAGACTTCGCAGGCTTGAAATAAGCAAAAAGCACACGAATTTTCATGCTTAAGATAAGCAAAATATTTTTAAATTTAGTAAACAACATTTTCTTAAACTACGATACGATTTTCGGTACTTAAGAAAAACGTTCTTGTAAGGGGAATTTCTATAAATATTAAGAAAGTCGAGCTTTTGCTTTTCAAAAGCCTTTGCACTTGATTTGAGTACAAAATTCTTGAATTGTAGCCCAGAATATAGCTGAAAAAATATTTTTAAATTTAAAGCTTTCAACAGTTTTCGCTCATTTTTCACCTTTGTACAAGCAAACACACACACACACACATATACGTGCACTTCATGGCCAAGCCAAAACAGTGCAAAAACAATTTCAGTTTCCATAGAGGGGCATAAATTACAGCTGAGCAATGCGTGTTGCTGCACAGCGTGTTGCAAGACTGCTAAAGCAGGCAGAAAAACAACCAAAGCAAAGCAAACCAATTCGTACAGACTCATTAAGGTTTTAATTTACAAGTTTAAACAGAGATTTAAGCGTTGCGATTTATATGCGTCCAGCGACAGGCAATAATCAATGGCATTGGCAACGGCAACAGCAACAGCAACAGCAACAAGGCGGCAATCACGCAGGGCAACATCGGCAATAAGAAGAACAATATGCGCCAGTGTCCACCTACGCAGTCCAAGAAACAAAAGCCGAGACTTTTAGGCCGGGCCAAGAGGACAGCAACAACAACAACAACAACATACATGACAGCAACAGCAACAACGACGCCAACGACAACGACGACGACGACGACGATTTGTGCAAATGGAGCGACATTAATGTTTGGGACATGAGCAACATGTAAGCGATAGGTAAACGAGGCGGGGCGAAGGGGGGCCTGCGGGCCTTGATGGGCTTTAAAAATGCAGCATTGATTAAACACAGCTTGACAGGGCTCAATGATTGCCTTGGCCAACTGATTGCAGCTGCTGCTGACCTTAGACAACAGCAGCAACAACAGCAACAACAGCAACAACAGCAGCAACACCTGCAACACACGGCCGCCAATTACACACAGAGAACTGGGCTTAACTGAACTGGACGCACGTGCATGTGATTTGAAGAGTGCAAAAACAAAGAATAAACGAAACCGTTCTAATTTCTCAACTGTCAGTGGCAAAGAGGCAATTCCAACAGACCGGGCCAACAAAAGCCGCACCGAACTCGTTAGCTTTGCTGCTTTGGATGTTGCAATTATGTAGCCAGCGTTTACAAAAGAAGGTCGTCATCGTCGTCGTTATTGTTGTTGCTGTTGCTGTTGCCGTTGCAGTTGCAGTTGTTTTTGCTGCTGGCTCATGTCTTCATTTTGGGCTTTTTGCTACACATGTTGCTGGCGTGCACAAGCAACAGCAGCAGCAGCAGCATTGCCTTTTATTTGTTTGTGCTGCCAACACTTTTGGCCTTTGGCGTTGACGCTAACCCCAACCGCGTCTAGCCAGCCCGAGCCGAGCCGCACACCCTTGTTGCCTTTATTAAGCCAAAGTCACTTGCTGCAACGGCAACAGCAACAACAGCAGCAGCAGCAACAGCAACAGCAGCAACAACAAAGCGTGGCCTGCAATCGCAGCGCGTTTTTTAATAGTTTTTAGCTGCAAACAAGTTTTTTTTTGTTCATATATTCTTTTTATTTTTGTGAGCCCGGCTGCTGGCACTTTGGGCCCCTCCGGTGTTGACGTCGCCGCTGGTTAAAGATTTTTTTCTCTAATTTGCGCCGCTTTAATTTTGCCTTTTTATTTGCAACACTTGTCGTTTAAATGCAGCAGCCGCAGCAAAGTGTTGCCAATAAATTAAATGCAATGCAAGCAGCGAGGAAAATCTGGAGAGCAAAAAAATTAACGATAAATTCATATTTTGATCTAGACGAAGCTGAGATACACTTGGGGAAATGTCAGAAGCTGCTGTGAGAAAGATGAATGCTTGCTGTGTGCACTTTTTGTTTTGAGAAAGATAATTTATATAACTTGCAACTTATTTATTTATTTGTTTTTAGATATTAAAAAAGAAAACGTCATTTAGCTTGAAGTTAATTATCGAAGAAATTTGAGAAGTAAACAAAAGTTTGTTCCACAAATGCGGATGTTCATTAAATATGTCATTCTATCAGCCAAAACAAACTCTTTCATTTATATTGAGACAGATAAAGCCCATAATACGATCACATTATAAACAAACAAAGTTAGTTAAACAATTTTGCACTCAAATATAGACCCGACCTTATAAGCAAACGCAGTTAAACAATATGAATTCATATATGGACCCATAACCCGAAGCTTTTCTTCGCCTTTGCAGTTAAAGTGCTGCATGTTTTGACAAACTCAATAAGAGGCGCATTAGGCTTCCTGTTAGGGTAGCTGCGAGAGAGCCTCGAGAGTAGTTGGAGCCAGTGTGCGGCATGGTTGGAAATTATCTATGTGGCCGGCAATTCTCAGTTCTCATTCGTTTTGTGGCACGACGCAATCGCAACAAATGGCATTTTTATTGATATTTCGGTCGGTTTGCCTGGCAGCTTCATGTTGAAATATGCGCCGCCACCTGTTGATTTTGTTTGCAGATTGGCCAAGACACACAGCGCACAGCCTCTTGGCCAAGCACTTGCCAGGCACTTGGGCTCCGACTCCGGCTCCGACGCCGACTCCGGCTGCAGCTGGAGCCAAAGGGGACTCGTGATTTGCAGCACAAATTAAAAGCGAGGGCGATGCATATAAATAGCAATTTGGACAGACGAATTAAGCCAAATGACTCCAAGTACACAGCCAAAGTTGTAAACTTGTCGTGTCACAGAAATGAGCTGAAGTTATGTCAACAGCGTGACTCGAAGGTGGAGTGTGTGTGTCTGTGTGTATGTGTGTGTGTGTGTGCTGAAGGAAGCCATGAGAAAGTCATACATTCCACGTGCATAACCCTCGGGAAACTTGAGCCAACTTGCATTTGACTTAAGTACGGTTAGAACTTTTCAAGTTGCCTCATTTTTTAACTAATAAAGTGGCTATTAATTTTAATTTAACTTGACAACTTAATTTCGTTAACTAACCTAATAAAACACTCAAGTGCATATAAGTAGAACTATGAAAAAACGTTTAAGGAAATAAGTTGAACATCATTCATTATTCAGAAATCGTTAAGCTTCAAATGAAATGAATAATTCATTAAATATGTATATGCACTCATTTTTAACCCTATGCATTCAAAACTATTTATTAGAGCTGAAAATGCAAAAATAAAAATCGCTGGTTCAATTCATAGCTCGAACTAGCTCTCTGCCTTTGGGTTCAGCTCTTAAAGCGGAATATTCTTCATTCTTTATCCTTAAATATTTTAAATGTAATAAATCAAGTTTAAAACGAATCGATTTAAGCCTAGGATATATACAGTTTTTTCTATAAAATTTCTTGATCCTTGATAAGATCACAATTTACTCCTAAAACAAAGCCAGATATATATTAATTTCTATAAAATTTCTTGATCCAATTTCAGCTCTCATATTAGAAACATTTCTACTATTCATTTTATTTATTTAAAGTTCTTTCACAATCCAATTTTCTTCTGCCAGTCCAATCTCCATATTAATCTGAACTATTTCAACACTTCTTCAGATATTTTTTTATGAGCTTTGATAAACTGAGACTAATTTGTAAAAGTAAAGTCTTCTTCAAATATGCAACAACTCAATTGAATGCAGCGCACAACATTGTATTTTATCAACTGTTATCAGGTGAATCAAACGTCTGCAGCCAATTAGGTGTCCCCCTTGGGAGCGACACGTTCTGTTTGGTTGCACTGAGATAAGCCCTAAGATATGGCAACAAATGCATTTGGAGTGAATTATGGACTACTTGTTGACAGACGACCGACAGGTAAGATAAGTAAGACGCTGATAAGCAACAAATTTGACAGACACAGGCCAACTGAGAGGCAGGTAGAAAAGATGTCAAAATGGGCAC